TGTCACAAAACTATGACAGACAGATAGAAAGTCGAGCAACTCACTCACCGGCAGCAATGCTTAGGCTGGCAGTTGAATAGACAGTTTGTCAGTCGGGCAGACTCTGCCACTCTGGCAATGGGGAGTGTTTGAATTTTTTAGAATGTATACATAGAAGTATTATGCGTGGAATGCGGTCAGATTGGGATTTCATGCTCTGGTGTTAAGGCTATAATAGTTATAATTAGTGGTAAATAGTTATGGAAAAGCGAAAGATCAGTTGTTGTGTTGGTGGAACTTATACGTTTTTAGTTTAAGTGGAACATATGTTTATTGCAAAGCGCTTCAAAGCTAAAATTACTTAGTTAAAGTAGTTAAATATTTAATATTCTTGATTTGTGATAGATAACGCCTGATCAAAATTGAACCGGACTGCTGAAAAATACATATTTGCTTACAGATTTTTTTTTTTAAATAAAATTTTATTGTTGCCTTAAAAAATGCTCCGAAGCCAATACAAGTATGCCAACGCTTAATACAATTTTCCATTCACTTGTTATAAACCCGAGCTGATGATTGCCTTTAGTGAATATTTAATCATTCGGTTTCGGCTTACTTTTGGAGCGCCATTCGCTAGATTGTTGCACAGCTTCCACTTCATATTTATAAATCAAGACCTCCACATAAGCTGTGATTCGTTTGGTGTACGTAGGGTTCTTGAGCTTCTCTCTTTCTACTATCTAAAAACCGAAACTTTAACTGAAACTTTAACCTGTCTTTAAGTGCTTTGTCAAGCTTCTCTTTTGTTGCCTCCACTCGATATCATATTTGCAAAATATTTAGCTCTTTCATACCTAAAACTTTAACCGAAACTATAACCAAAATGTATTGAGTGTATCTATTGGCAATGTTGAGATCGCGTTCTGTCTCTCTGATGCCAGCACGATCAAGCACTGCTTCTTTAACATTTTCGATGTTATCTTCGCTAACAGAGGCGGATTGTTGACTCGCATGCGGCATGTTTTCCACGATTTAACTCTAATAAAAACTGTATCCAAATTCCTATAAGCGATGTTGAGATCTTCTTCTATCTCCCTGAAGCCAACATAATGGTTTTCAGTTTTCAAAAACTTCACGACTTTTGGAAACACAAAATTTGAAGCAAACTCCTTGCTCAAGTTTTTTTTTTCACAGGGAACATCGCCTGACAAATTTTTTGCAAAATCAGGTTCAAACGACAGAGTACTTGAGATATGGAGGTCAAACTGTACCCTTCTAAATCCAAAGCATTTCAAAAAAAATTGTATGGTTTGATGATATCCGTAGTATGAATGATTATGGTTGTCGCTAGCATCGAATGCTTTTCACCACATTGCTTCCTGGTTAAATCTTTAATTTAATCTTTATTTAAAATTTTCTTTGTGATTACATTATTTTCTTTTTAATTTTTACCATCTTTTAAATACAAAACTTTTAACGCTTTTCGCATAAATTTCGCAGATTTTCATATTGTCTGTTAAATTTTTACGATCTTACGCCAACAAATAAAATTCAACAACAATTTTACTCAATCATAATATGAATTATGGCGTGCTAAATAAATATTACCGCATTTCTCATTCATTCATTCACTCATTACCAGCATTTTATTTGCTACAATTACAAAATCGGCCTGTGTAGCATCCGTAGTCTGCGCCGTGAATTGCGGAAAAATGCAAACGTATTTTTTTATTGTTGTGTCATCGCACTAAGGGGCATGTGCTGGGGCCATAAATTTATATTCCAACACGTTAGTGCAATAACAAGAAAGTCACACGTGTGCATTACAGTTGCTAGAAACAGATATTGGAATTTATATCGACAAATGAAAAATGTCGATAATTGTGCAACATTTAACTAGTTCTAATGAGCAATTTCATGCAAATTATATGAACGCTCATTAATGCTAAATTTAATTACGTGTTTATTAGTTTTTGCAAAACATCGTCGTATCGCTAGAAAAAAAATAAAAATAAAAATATCCCAACTTCTGTATAATCAGTCGCTTCAGCTTTACTTAGAATTATAATTATTATTTTTAATATATTTAAATTTAATTAGTTGATTTTTCCATAATCAAATTCTGTAATCTTCAATGATTATTTGTGTGTTTGCAATACTTTTTTATTTTTTAGACAGTCTACATTCATTTTGCATTTCTTTGTGCTTGCTTGTTGCTCTCTTTTATGACGTTATGCCGAGTTGTTTTGACTGCTCGTGTCGGTTTTGACAGCTCTCTCGTCACACGTCAATTATTTTGCTACGGTTATTTTACTACTAGTAATGTTATGACTGGAAAATTTTATATTTGCTCTTATTGTTTTAGATATTTCAATAAAAAGTACTCTTGTTTATGGGTGTCTGTCAATTAATTGCGCGGAAATTCACTAATGAAATATACTTTGTGCACACAAATTGTTTTGACTGATATGTGGTTATGTAAAAAAATAATTCGGAGCATCAAATGTCGGTAATCTATCATTATTTCTTTGATGTAAATTCGTGATAATTCTACGAATTTTTTTCATATTAATATTGGGTAGTCGAAAAAGTATTTTCGTATAATATTTCCTATCAAATATATGTTTATTTTATATTTTTAATTTCTTATTATCCTATATATARTATATAGACAAATTCTAACAATAATATTAATTTTTTAAATTTTTCAAATAAGAAAAACTATATCTTTACTTACCATCTCTCCAAATTCTTCAATCATTTAATTTGACTTAAAATTTTTTACGTTTTAATAAAATAATTTCAGTTTGCCTTTCTTGTCTATGTAAAACTTCCTACCGGAAATTGTTGAGAGCGTTGCCAATAAATACTTGAATATATCTAGAAGCAAAAAGTATATGTGTTATAATATATACAAGTAAATATGTATATACATATGTATAGACAAATAATCTCGACGTGCCATTCTCTGAACAAAATTAATAAAAACAGATTGATTAAACAATAAACATCATTTGACAGCTAATTGATAATCAAGTGGCAATCGATGCCGACGCGTTCATATTAAGTATAAAATATGTATGTATGTATTATTTGAGCGGCTTGTGCTTAAACGTCGTTACTTAATTAGTATTATGAAATTTGTTGAAAAATTTTAACAAATTTAA